TCTATCTATCATCTTTCTTTCTTTCTTTCTTTCTGTCTGTCTGTCTGTCTGTCTGTCTGTCTGTCTATCTATCTATCTATCATGTATCTATCATGTATCTATCTATCTATCTATCTATCTATCTATCTATCTATCTATCTATCTATCTATCAAGGGCCATTAAAATATGACCGTATAATAAAAGGCAAAGAGAATGCAAATACCAGGTATCCGTATACAAACTCCAAATAAATGTTAAGCATGCTTTTATTTGCGATACTCCAAGATTGACCAGCAGGGGGAGCCAATTAGATGCTTGCAATAAACAATTGGACACAATGACAAATGTACAGGTGTTTCCTGCAGGTACTTCGGAAAATGGAAGGTGGCACCTGTGTACAACACAATACACAATCCTGGGGAACAGTCCCTGTGGCTTAGAAGGGACGGATTCCATGTTAACTCAGCATATATATAAAAGCAAAATGCCACTCACACAACATCACAAAATCTCCAGAACCGTAAAGCCTACAAACTTGAAATTTGGCACATATGTTCCTTCTAGGTACTCACTAAGAAAGGATTTTTCGAAATGACCATCCAGAGCATTAGTATTTCGTATATTATTATTATTAACATGCTCTGATGCTAAGGAGTTCTACTTCCTCTCCCCACCTGGAAAGAAATCTCTTCCAAATGCAAAACACAAGCAGAGGAGAGGAGTTTCTGTTTCAGTTTCACAGCACCAAGCAGCTTTAGTACAGAACAGTTGAGCTAAGCCACACCCAGGCTCCTCGCTGTCTCCTTGCTCACACAGCAAATACTCTTTCAGTTTCCAAACAGCCCTCCATTCTCTCACATACTGACAGACCGCTAGCCAGAGGAATACCAATGGATGCTGGTAGGCAGAGGCAGAGTTCCCCCACGCCCTTATTTTCCTCCTCCAAAACTAAGCCCTACCACATAGTTTCGTAGCGAAGCACGGCTATCGAGCTAGTCTGGAAGAAACTATCGTGGTTCAATTTTACGGGAAAGAAGAGATCGGTGTCGGTCCGAAGGACACGTACCTGAAAAGCCACTTTTGACCGAATTTTATTTGTGAGCTGGTGGATAATCTGTGCATTAAGGCTGCCGCTGTTGTCCATGTCCCCTACCAGCACCGGGAAGGCCTGAGAAAAAGAAGCAGCATATAAGTTGGAAGAGACCGTGGCAGTCTTCTAGTCCTCAAGATCCCACTTTATATGACCCAGGTTGAGAAGAACTACTCGAAAGCTGAAATGAACAGCTCAGACTGGAAGTTAAAAACAAAAAAAGAGAGAGACGCTCGCACAAGGGAAAACAGCGAGCCAACGAAGTTACTCAATAGGCATCAAATTAGCGTAAGTCACATCCTGATTTAAGAATTACTGTATTTTTTCGGACTATAAGATGAACTTTTACCACCCTCAAAAGTGGGTGGAGATGTCTGTGGGTCTTATAACAGTGAACACTCTTCGTCCTCTGCCTCCCAGCCGTTTGCCTCCTCGCAGCAAACAGCCTGTTCCAGCTTCAGCACAGCCTGATTTCGCACAAACAGCTGATCGTCGGGTTGGATCGGCCTCCCGACGATCAGCTGTTGCGGACTGCAGGGATCGCTGTCGCCTATTGCCGCCTCCGGACCCCCTCCCCCACATTCTCCCCGTTCCAATCCCTGCTGCCTGGAATGGGCCGAAAATGGGGTACGCGGAGCCCGAAAACGGGATGCGAAGGCCAAAAATAGGGCACAGAGAGGCAGCAATAGGCCATGGCAATCCCTGCAGCCCAGGGGTGGGATTCCAATTTTGTAGCAACCGGTTCTGTGGGTGTGGCTAGGTGGGTGTGGCCATGTGACTGGTGGGCGTGGCTTCATTTTTGCAGCTAACCCCCCACCCCCACCCCATTTTTTTTGCCTCCTGGGCCTCAGGGAAGCCTCCTGGGCGAAGCAGTAAGACAGGAAGGGGGATCCCAGCACAGCTGATCATCGGAACAGCTGATTGTTGGGTGAGAGGGGGGAAAAAAGTAATACCTTAAGGAGTGACTTGGTGAGGGAGAACCCATCAGCGATGTCGGGCATGCATGTGATGTCGTGCATGCGTCGTAAGGACTGACTGGGAGGGGCGGGGCGGGTGGAGAGGGGCGGGGCCAGCCAGGGGCACGATTTACCAGGTCCCTGAACTGCACAGAATCATTAACAACCGGTTCGATAGAACCGGTCCGAACCGGTAGAATCCCAGCCCTGCTGCAGCTTGAAACAGCTGATTGTGGGGAGGCCGAGCCAACCAACGATCAGCTGCTTGTGCTAATCAGGCTGTGCTGAAGCTGAAACAGGCTGTTTGTTGCAAAATTGCTGGGAGGCAGAAGCAGAATTTTTTTCCCCCTTGTTTTCCTCCCCAAAAGCTAGGTGTGTCTTATATTCCGAAGCATATTATACTCCAAAAAATTACGGTATATAAACCTACCTCTGTGGAGCTTAGTTGCTTCGTCCCGACATACGTCGCCCCGAAGTGATAATTGGAGTCCCCGACTGTGCTGAGCGCCACCGTATGGTTGACCTGAAGAAAGAAAACAAGGGGAAAACCTTTCAGGTCAGAACCGGACACCTAGGAGCAGGTGTCGAAGCAGACATGCACCAGGTTAGCCAAGGCGAGGTAAGGAACACCACCAGGTGATCACACAGTAAGATCCTTGGAACGAAGCGTGCTTATATAATAAAAGCCAATGCGCCCCAACTGAAGGACGGTGAAGACCCTGGACAAACACACTGGGGAAAAACATACAAACAAATACGATTTGCTCACAGCCGTGTCAACGCAGAGACGCAGCCATGTCTACATCGGAGCTCACCAATCCCTCTGCGACTTTGTTTCCGAAAAAAAAAGCTGTGAGGGAGTCAAATAAATCAAACCTGGGGGGCGGTGGGGGGGAAGAGAACTATCTCAGACTGAAAACCATCACCTGTTTTGAACTCGCTGGCCACGTGCGAATTCCTACTTGGGAGTCAAGCCACCCTAAACTCATTGGTTTTTCCAGTAAACATGCACAGGAGCTCACTGGCACGTTATTCCCCCATTGTGCAATGTAAAAATGGAACCCTGAAAGCAGAAATGGGCAATGCATGGCCCTCCAGAGTTGAGACTATCAAGCCCATCATCCCTCTAGAAGACCAAGGTCCTTTCCAGCTCAATTCTGATCGACCGACTGATTGGAATGGTGTAGGGCCGTTATGGCGAACCTATGGCACGCATGCAGGCTTTGCAGGTCGAAAACAAGGCTTGTTTTGTCACTTCCTGTTTTTCTGAAAATACCAGAAACGACGAAACGGGCCTAGTTTTCAGCCTGCAAAGCCTGCAGAAGCCTTTTTGAAGCCTCTGGAAGGCCGAAAAAGGCCTCAAACCAGCCAAAAATCAGCTGTGAGGCGCAGTGCAGGTAAGGGGCCCGCGGAATGGGTGGGTGGGGATTGCGCACGCATGCCTAGGGGGCATGGGGGGGGCATGCATTGCCTTCTGGGTGCTGGCACGCGAGTGTGAGCCTGCAAGCCCAAGCACAATTTTTAGCACGGGAGCCCAAAAAGGTTAGCCACCACTGGTGTAGGGTCTCCTGCTTGAGCAGGGGGTTGGACTAGAAGACCTCTAAGGTCCCAGAGTTGGACTCCCAAGTCTATCATCCCTCACCCCTGCTTGTGCTGGCCCGAGCTGAGAAGATATAAAAACAATATACCGACCGGCATTGAGTGAACGAACGAACGAATGAATATACCAACCGGGGGGGTGATATATTATTGCCTTTGTTTTTGTTCTTTTAAACCATTTTGCTAGCCCTTGATGGAATAAATATTATTGGTTGACTAATGAGTTGAAGGCTGTGGACAAAAGCCGAGAGGAAAAGGAAATATTAGGGACTAGGAACCCCAGGGTGTATTGAGGACACTTAAGAATGCTGCGTTTTTGTTGCGTTTATGAGGGATTGGTTGGTCGCACGCAGACAATTTTGAAGAAAGCAAGACCACCCAAAAAGCTGAATGAAAATAGGGAAAGAATTTAATCCTTCCTCCAGGCCCTGGGAGCCACGCCCTTCCAGATCTTGCCACGTCTGCCAAGCCGCTGGGGGGCAGAAGGGGAGGGCAGAACTGAACATTTGGAGGGTTACAGGTTGACCCCCTCCGTCACTGATCGGCCAAGCCGCAGAAGTGACACAGTCATACTCTTACCTGAAAGTGATTGCTGAGACCTTTGTTTACCGTTAATTTCACCCCCTCCATTTGGATAGGAAACAATTCTGCAAAGGAAAGAAGGAACAAAGAGGTGGGGGGTTGCTTTTCTCCTGCTGAGCCCTTTTCTTCTGCAAAATCGGGTATTACCGTGCTTCCCCGAAAATAAGATCCAGTCTTCTGTGGGTTTGGTTTTTTTGCCACCAAAAAAAGGCACCAGGTCTTATTTTCGGGGGATGTCATCCATGAAAGGATGGAAGGGAGGGAGGGAAAGGAAAGGAAAGGAAAGGAAAGGAAAGGAAAGGAAAGGAAAGGAAAGAAAAGGGAAAGGGAAAGGGAAAGGGAAAGGAAAGGAAGGAAGGGAGGAAGGAAGGGAAGGAAGGAAGGAAGGGGAAGGAAGGAAAGGAAAGGAAAGGAAGGAAGGAAGGGAGGGAGGGAGGGAGGGAAGGAAAGGAAAGGAAATGAAAGGAAAGGAAAGGAAAGGAAAGGAAGGAAGGAAGGAAGGAAGGAAGGAAGGAAGGAAGGGAAGGAAGGGAAGGAAGGAAGGGAAAGGAAAGGAAAGGAAGGAAGGGAAAGGAAGGAAGGAAGGAAGGAAGGAAGGAAGGAAGGAAGGAAGGAAGGAAGGAGGAAGGG